AAATTCCTATACTTGAAAACCTCTTCAGCTATACAGAGAAGAAATCAAAATGACCTGAAAGAAGAAATTAAAATCAATCTGACTCTCTTTTATCTATTTTCATTGTTAGGAAAAGGAGATGAAATTAAATGGAGACTTAGAGAACTAGCAGCTAGACTTCTGTGAGTTCAGAAAAGCTTAAAGTTCATCAGGGATCCCCTGCTGAAAGGCCCAGCTGCAGAACTTCATCTACACAGAGGAGGGGGAGGAAGTGAAATAAAGACTAAGTTGCTTGAATCATAAGATCTTCAATGACCTGAAAGAAAATAGAAAGTAGGTCAGATTACTAAATGATGAATAAATGTATAGACTATGTATGGACAAAATCTGAAAGCTAAGTTCCCAAAAGGTTAGAAAATTGGATTAAAAAGATAGCAAGGATGTTGGTAAGATGCATAGTGAGAAGAGCAAGGAGAAGACTGGTCTGTTATTCCATGGAGGGGGAAATGTATTTAATCAATACCTAATGACTGGTGATGCTGAGACACCAGTATCCTTAGTGCCTTTTTTAACCTCAGTCTTCAATTTTAGAAGGCAAATTGGATTTCACTACTAGCACCAGAATGAAAGTCTGAGAGCTTAGACTAGAGAATTAAAATATAGACTGGAAAATACATAGATAAGTTAAAGATTTTTGGATAGACTGGACCTGATGGAACTCCCTTATAATTCAAACAATGTTAGAGCTGTTACTGATTACCAGTAGATAATGATGGAGGTTTCAGAAAACCTAAAAAAGATTGCATCTCTGTCAAAGGATGAGAGGGAAGAGCTCCACAAATGGATTAAGTGAATTTCTACTCAAAAAATACCAAGGTTTCAACAGATAATCCTACCATTTGCAAGAATCTAGAAAATATAGATGTGAGAAGTAACAGCATGGGTTTGTCAGTAACAATACCAATCAATCTAGTCTACTTCTATCAGATGGTAACAGGCTTTGCGGATGGGGTAGGAAGAGTGAGGGTCACAAGAGTTTCATATACTCTTAACAACAACAAAAAAAGATACGGAATGGACAATTATATAAAATGAGTGCAAAATTATTTGGAAACAATTAGTATTCCCAAGCTGAAATGATACATTGAGATTTCACTTAGATCTGTCTTGGATCCAGAACGATGCAGTACTTTCTTCAACATCTTTGATGACTTAACCAAGTACACTTAGATTTGTTTGGAGACCGTATATACAGGAAGGGGCTCCAACAATGCTGGAGCACAGCATTATGATTCAGAGGGATCTTGGCAGTCTGAAGAAAATGAAATACCACCAAACAAGGAGAGATAGAAGGTTCTATACATACAAAGGAATAATCTACTGCACAAGTACATACCAGGATAAAAAAGCAGTTCTTCAGAAGAGAGATTACAGATCATGAGCAGTGCTAGGCTATCTTGTGTTATGCTGATGTTGGAATTCATAGATAGGAGTATCATAAACAAGATAATGAAAAAGTAATTTAAAACTATCTAGCTGTTGTTATTTAGCAGGAATAGCCTGCTCAGTTTTCTGGTCTACAGTCCAAGATAGCTGAGAATCAACTCAAAAACATCAGGAGGAGAGAAACAAAAAGGCCAAAAGATTCCAAAAACCTAAACTACAAGGGAAGGTAGAAGGGGCAGGAGTTCTCTGGCCAGAGAAGAGAAGACAAGACAAAACAAGATAAGACAAGAGAGCAGGCAGAGGTGTTCACCTACACCAAGAGGAAAGGGAGAACCTACTTTCCATATGTACCAGTTAGGTTAGGTATTAGGAAACTTCCTGCTTGCCAAACCAGTTAAGTAAGGACTGTAGCCACTCAGAAGCACTCCGTAATCTCTGTCACTGCAAGTCTCTAACCATCTACCTGCAGTACAACAGGAGCAGCTGATCAGAGGCTGAGATATGTTGAGGACCTAGACAGCTTCTCAAAATCCCTTCCAGCACTATTTCCTCCCTCTGCTATGGTTCTAACCAAGGCAGGGATTATCCTTTGTTCCTTGTTTTCAGACTTTGTGATAAGCACTACCCTAAGTGACTGGTCATGACGAATAGTCAGGAGTGGCTGTAAATATGTGGCCCTTCCCATTGTTTTGCACCCTTCTGCAAGCACACTAACTGGGCTCATGGCACATGAACCTGGCATTCGGTCTCATATGCTTCAGAAAGCATTTTCCAATTGAGTTCCCTGTCTCAAACCACATCTAATAATAATTTGACATTATGGCAATCTAGAAACAGACATCAAAAAAGAAGCAGGCACATTTCAGGAGGGTAGTGACAGTCCAGAACAGTAAGCCAGTGGAGTTTGTTATTTTGGTTGTGATGGGATAGCTCATAACACAGTTTTCCAAAGTACTATCATTCCTTCACAACTAGTGATCAAACAATAAAATTTAACAATGAGAAAGAACCACATCTCCCAGCAAAAAAAATAATAACAAGACAGTATAGTCACCACAATTTGTCGTATTTCCCAACTCATGTTTGCTTTTTGCATATATTGCAGATTTGAGTCGTCCTCCCTTGCTTTTGATTAAAGTAACCAGCATCCTGATTCTGCCCTCATGTAAGTTCAAACAAAATCTGATATCCTCCAGTGAAATTAAAGATACTATATACCAGAATAAAACAGATCTAAAAGAGCAGAATCAGATACCTGATCTATTTATATTTTAAGAAAGTAACATAAATATCTTACAATATCAGACTCTTCTATTGCTTGTGACAAAAGAAATATTTGAAAATGAAGGTATGTTGCTAACACCTGTGTGGATTATTTTAAAGAATTATAAAATTCCATATCAGAAAAATGATTATTACTGATGTTCCTGGTTTCCTGTCTTCTTATGAAGGTTCAGCAACATACTGTAGAGGAAGTTGTCTCTGTCCAAGGCAGGGAGGGATGGAAGTAGATGATCTTTAAGATTTCTTCCAGTTCAAACCATTCTATGATTCTATGACATCAATCGTGTATATGGTTTATTCTTTTCTCTCAGCCCTTACCTTTGCAGTCTCCCTATTCAAGGGTATTACAGAATCACAGAATCAGTTAGGTTGGAATGGACCTCAACAGATCATCTGGTCCAACATCCCTACTCAAGCAGGGCCATCCTAGAGCACATGGTTCAGGACTGCATCCAGACGATTCTTGAATACCTCCAGTGAGGGAGAATCCATGACCTCTCTGGGCAATCTGTTCCAGTGCTCAGTGACTCAAGCACAGTAAAGTTCTTCCTTGTATTCAGGTGGAACTTCCTGTGCATCACCTCTTGCCCATTACCTCTTGTTTTACTGGTTTCCACCACTGAGAAGAGTCTAGCTCCATCATCTTGGTATTTCCCGTTCATATACTTGTATCCACTAATGATATCCCCTTCTCAGTTGTCTCTTCTGGAGACTGAACAGGCCCAACTCCCTCAGCCTTTCCTCATAAGTGAGGTGCTCCAGTCCCTCAAACATTTCCATCACCCTCTGCTGGACCCTCACCAGGAGCTCCATGTCCCTCTTGTACTGAGGAGCCCAGAACTGGACACAATACTCCACCTGTAGCATCATGAAGGCTGAGTAGAGAGGCAGGATCACCTCACTCGACCTGCTGGCAATACCCTTCTTAATGCATCCCAGGATTCCACTAGAATTCCTAGGAGCTTCTCCGCAGAGCTTCTCTTTGGCAGGTCAGTGCCCAACCTGTACTGGTCCTGGGGGATATTCCTCCCCTGGTGCAGGACTCTGCACTTGCCCGTGTTGAATTTCAGTTGGTTCTTCTCTGCCCATCTATCCAACTTGTTGAGGACCCTCTGAAGGGCAGCACAGTCCTCTGAGGAATCAGCCACTTCTTCCAGTTTCCTATGATCATCAGCCTTGCTGAGTCCCCTTGTCTGTCATGAATAAGCTGAACAATACTGGGCCCAGTATAGAACCGTAGGAGACATCAGTCTCCAACTGTGTCACTGATCACAACTCTCTGGGATCTGCTGCTCAGCCAGTTCTCAATCCACTGTACTGTCCACTCATCCAACCCACACTTCCTAAGATTTCTGATGAGGATGCTGGGGGACAGTGTCAAAAGCCTTGTGGAAGTCAAGGTAGACAATATCTACTGCTCTCCTTTCATCCATCCAGGCAGTTGTTTCATCATAGAAAGCAATCTGGTTGGTCAAACATGACTTACCTTTAGTGAACCCATGCTGACTACTCCTGAGCACCTTCTTGTCTTCCATGTGGGCAGAGATGGCCTCCAGAATGAGGCATTCCATTACCTTTCCAGGGACTGAGGTGAGGTGAGGCTGACTAGCTGGTACTTCCCTGGGTCCTCCTTCTTGCCCTTTTTGAAGACTGGGGTGACATTTGCCACCTTCCAGTCTTCAGGCACCTCTCCTGATCTCCACGGCTTTTCACAGATGATTGTGAGTGGCCTGGCTATGATGTCCACCAGCTCTCTCAGCACTTGTGGATGCATCCCATCGGGGTCTACGGACTTGTGGATGTCCAGTCTAATTTGGTGTTCTCTGGCCCAATCCTTTTGCACAAAAGTCTTTTTCCCCACCTTCATTTACCCTGGTCTGTTGGGTCAGAGATCCCTATGGGCTGACCTTATCTGCAAAGACTGATGCAAGGAAGGCATTGAATGCCTTCTGTTATCAGGGTCCCCTCTCCATTAACTAGTGGGCCCACATTATCCTTTGTTTACCTTTTGGTATTTATGTATTTAAAAAGGCCCTTTTCATTACCCTTGATGTCTTTGGCCAGATTCAATTCTACGTTAGCCTTGGCCTTTCCCATCTTGTATTTACCTGCTTGGGCCACATCTCCACTTCAAGTGGCCTGACCACACTTCCACCTCCTATGCATTTCTTGCTTATGTTTCAGTAATGACAGAGGTTTCATGTGCCCTTTGCCAAATTTCTTTCTTGTTGGAATGCATCATGCTTGAGCCTGGAGAAGGCAAGCATTAAATAACTTACACTAAATAACATTCAATAACCAACTCTCTTGGACCCCTCTTCCCTGCAGGGCCTGCTCCCATGGGATTCATCCAAGAAGATCTCTAAACATGTTAAAGTTTGCTTTCCTGAAGTCTGTAGTTGTAGTTTTAATTGCTGGCCTGCTACCTCTTTGATGCTGAACACTACAATCTCATGGTTGCTACAGACAAGGCTGCCCCCAACCTTCACATCATCAACAGGGCCTTCCTTGTTGGTTAATATAAGGTCGAGTAACACACCATTTCTTGTAAGAATCTTCAGTACCTGAGACAAGAAATTATCATCAATGTTCTCCAGGAACCTCCTGGACTGTTTGTGCTTTGCTGGATGGCAAAGCAGCAATAATGAAGCAACACATATGTTTCTGAAATGGATATAAAAGAAATAAAGCCAAAAATTCCCTGGGAATTATCTTAAGGATTGCATTAAATATCAGGTACTTAAAGAGATTTAAAGATGTTTTCTTACATCAGAAGGTTGCCTGGGTGATGATGGCAGTGTTCATTACATTACAAATCTGGTATAAATAACACAGGAAAAAAAAGTCAAGGTAATTTCTTTTTTTAATAAGAGAAAATTAGTACACTTAAAATTCATTTCTGCAAACATTTTTATGCAAACACAGTCATCCTGTGATGCATCTAATAATTCCAAAATCACTGTTTTAACTTCACATTAAAAATATGAAAATATAATATAAACATATCAAAACATTTGGCAACAAAGTTTGTGTAATGCAAAGGATGCCTGAACACTGTGTTTTGGGATTGCAGGCTCAATTTTAAAATCTTATAAGTTCCTTTGCAGGAGTTATTATTTTCTGAAAAGAAAAATGGAAAAAGAAACAATATTTCAGAGTGCACAGCAGGTTCTCTTCTTACTTTCATTTAGAGTCACAACATCTAAGTCATACAATACAGAGGATTTCTGTAAAACAAACAAAAGCAAACAATTAAGATAACTAGAACACAACAGTTGAAAAGCTTGCTTTTGGGTGGGGTTACTGGATATATTTTTCCTTTGACTATTTAATTAAAAGATTCCAGTTTTCTAATAAATTAGAAGGAAGCTTATGCCCACTCAAGTCCCAGTTTGTCATCTCTATATTCATTAGCTGCCTCCAACATCTCTCCTAACTCTGATGGCGACAGATGACAGAAAGTGTCTTTTGAGGAGACACTACAAACCATATGCACCAATCCTGAAAATCTTTCCTCACATAGTACATGTTCTTCTCTGACTACATCAATTTTTACTAATTTTATGTTAAGTACACTAAGTATTGGGCAGGGAGTGCTAAAGTCCAGTTGAAAGGAACAAGTAAATATAAAACAGCAGTGCCCATTAAAAAAAAGGCTATTGTTATAAAGGATGTTAACTTGTTTTGTGAAATTTACTAAAATTCTCTATTTTCTTGCCTCTATTTAATAAACACGAATAGCCCCAAATGGAAACAGTTCAGTCTTTATCACCATAAACTATCAAAAGAGCAATCCACCCTCGTAAAACATTTATGTATTGATTGCAAAACCAGATTATAATAAGAATAAAAATCTTCAGAACCAGGACTCTTCCTTTTAGCAATGAACTCAACTAGATAATTAGTGTTGACTGGAGAAACAATCAAACCCAGTTGTGTAATACAGTACAAATATATTTTGCAATCTTGTACTCTGAAAGTATGAACACTGAACCTTGAACTTGGGCACAGAGACATAGAGAATATTGTCACATGCCCAGGAAAAAAAGTCCTAACTTCTCTACTTGCCATTCTCCTGCCTGCATCTTGCAGATTTACCAAGTACGTAATGATATACAGAGAAGTAAGTGCAACCACTGGATTCACCACATTCCTCTGTCAACCCAAACCCCACAACCATAAACAACTATTTCTGACAATAAAGAGAAGCTTCTAGAGACAAGTACCTAAGATGGAATTCATGAAATTTAAAGCACAAGAACAAAAGAAAGGAAGAGGGGGAAAAGGCATCATGTAGTACAATGCTAACCATGATTCAGAATTGAAAACCTGCACATACAATGCCACAGGGTAGTTGAACATTGACTACAACCAGAAAGGGTTACCTAAAATGACTCAGGTGAAACAAAGTGAGGGCAAAATAAAAGGTTCCCCCATGCTACAAATAAGCCTTATGCGTCTTCGGCTGAGAATGCTTATCACTACCTAAAACCCTGGAGAAGACACATGAAATTTGTTTCCTTTTTCCTTCAGTAGCCATAGTTTCAGGTCTTCCAGCATGCTGGCTGCCCTGTGCCAGGGCCCTCCCCACAGAGACACGTCTGAGTGCATTTCTCCTTCGGTGCAATGACCCAGGGAAGTTTCCACAGTACATGGTGCTGGGGGAAGAAGATGAAACACCTGGGAAGGGATCAGAGGTGATAGATAGAGGCAGGAGCAGAGGGCAGGAAATGTATCATAGTGTTCTAAACTTCAGAAGGGATGCTGAAGTGTCATCAGGAAAAAAATTAACAGTTATTGTTCTGACCCTAGGGTACTGGAAGACTGTGACTCACTGATTTTAGGAATATCTTGTCATTAGTCACATAATGAAGAAATACAGCATGTCCACTTTTACTCTTTTTTTTTTGCTTGGTTTTTTTGTTTGTTTTTAAAAAAATCATTTATTGAGTGATAAGGAGCAAGAGACATAACATTTTTATTGCCCTTGAGAATTCACACAAATACCAACACGCAGCTTCGTAACTTCTGATTAGCTTTAACTTTTTACACAGTTGTGTAAGGTACTTGAGTACAGGCATTAGCCATTATGATTTGTGCCAAGCAGAGACAGTATCTGATAGTCTGCAAGCACAGACAGTACATGTAAAATATGAAGACCTTTTTAAAAGAGGGAGCAAGCCAGAATCAAAAGTACACAAACCCAACCTTGTCATCTCAAGGAACAAAATACCACTCTGATTTAGAGATACGATTCTTAAGGGGGGAAAAAAACCTCTGGAAGATAATTGTAGAGTCAGAAATTTAAATTCACTCTACTGAGAGCAAGAAATAACAGTGAAGCATTTATTATTGCGGATATAAACTAAATAGGTTTTATTTCACCCCGCTTTTCCTTCTTCAGAAAAACACCCATCAGTTTAAGTAGTAAAAGAGGTCTAGAAAAATGCCTGTTTGAACAGTTTTAGAATTCAGGTTTCACTTACTTAACTTTAGAGGAAACGGGTAATTTGAAGATGTTGCAGGTTACACTTCAAGGTCAAACTTCATGCTTACAGCCAAAGGGGAGAAATAAGCATATTCCTTAAACACTGAAAATGTTTATTTGCAAATAATTGACAACTTAATAATACTTTTGGGTGGCCAAGTAAGCTGTTCATACATTCTTAGCAAGGATCCTCAGTACTATAAGAGTTAAGAATGGTGAAATATATTTGATACAGACAGTTCATATAATCTGTAAAATGATTATCTGACAGTAGTTTATCAACAAATTACTAAGGACAGAAAGACAAGAACCACCACTCCACAAATAACGAAGAGCCTTTTAAAAAGCCATTTAAAAGCTGAGGACTCTGAATCACTTCAGTTTAATAAGACTGTTCCATACAGGATCTTCATGAAGCAAATAAAGGCCTGAGATTCATTTAAGCAAATGTGCTATAAACACATGTAAGAAGTGCACATTCATAGCCTTGAGAGATACAACAAGTCCTGCATAAAGCACTGAAGCAATGATCAGATTTGGGCAATCCCACGTAGTGCTCAACTTCAGCCAAGCCTTGGAAGAGGTGGGGCAGCCCCTCTCCCAAATTACAGCAGGGAGGTATGCAAATCTCTCCCACCTGTGAGAACAAGGCAGGTAGCATTCCTCCTTCAGGGCTCCATGAACACTTAATACTTTCATCTCACATTTCAGCTCAGTCTGTTGTAACTCACTGCCTGACAAGCCAAGCAAACAAACAGCAAGAAACTGTGAAAAGGTGAGAACAACTGAAATGGCACCAAGAAGCTTGTGTTTCCACTTTGGTATCATGGAAAAGCGAGGTTTTGAAAATACCGCCACAGACCGAGATGCCACTTTACCCTGCAGTGATTTTAGTAAGATGTTGAAATTTCCTGCTGTCAAATACTAGTTTTTCCTGTTAAAGAGCACACCAGACATGTCTCACCTAACAGGCAGGCATCTGTTCAAGCCAGTTTTAAGCTTCCTGCTGTCTCCCCTCCTGGCAGTCTCTCCTTGCCAGCTCTGAGCAGGGTTTGTATTGCTGGCATGCAATAGATAACATCTAGACACAGAAATTGGGATGAGATGGCTGAGATCCCAAATGGTTTTAGCTTTTTTTTTTTTCAATCAGGAAAAGAAAGCGAAGGTGGCGTACAAAGGGAAATGTAATGAAAAAATAAGAAAAACTCTTTGATAGACTTCTAATGGAGTAAACCGATAAATCTTCATTATGATCAGCTGCCCATTACTTGCTGAAAAACTGCTCAGATTAGCAATGCCATACCAAGTTAGATTCACCTACTTTAAGACCAGTTCTCAGTATTTTTATATTATTTTATTTATTTTGGAGGTGGGAAGAATGACAGGATTTTACTCTATCCATATCAAGTCCCCAGTCAAAGCGAGACCTGGAGTGCCTGCTGAAAAACTAACAGCTTTGGAGAAACACGCAGAAGGGTCTGTAACTGAGGTTACCATGGAGGTTACCATTACTTACAACTTCTTTAAATTCTGAGGATTTTCATTCTCTCTAATGACAAAATGATCTTGCTTAATCACTGCAATCATTTTGTTTATACTTAACAGTGACAGTTGACAAAGCCTGGCAAAGCATGGCAGAGAGCTTCATGCAACCAAGTTCATGTGAATTCTGTGCCTGAGCTGCCAGTAGAGAGAGCTCAGTTATTAAGAACAGTCCTGCCATTTTCTTGACATGTGTTTGCCCTATATTCTGTAATTCAAATTACTTGTTCAAAATGCAAGACAGTCCTCTCACAACAGCAATGGGCTGGACATGGCACAAGCAGCATTATGTGAGAGCTAGAAATATATTAGCAGGGAAGGTAATCACTGTGGGGACAGGAGCAGGAGAGGATATGGGGTCAGGCACAGCAGGACCTAACTGCTGCTGAACATCTTCCTCAAGAAATGAGGATCAAGGCCTGGCTCACAAAGCCTGCTGTTCCACCATGACTAAAACATCTGACCCACTGGCAGTGTGGGGCTCTTCTCTTAATATCACATAGACTATTACATTGCTCTACTGCAATTAGTTATTTCACAAACTTGAGAAGACAGCTGTGGTCCTCCTGTGAGGTTCCTCAACTCTATGGATCATCTATGTAAGGTTTAATATAGTTGCATCTCAAAACCCCTGTTTAAGAAAGCAATATGTCAAGATCATGCAAAAACAGCAAATGCCAGAAGTAAGCAAAGTCTGTAACATTCTTTTGGTCTCCTGGAGTTTAATTTATTTAATTTGAATCATATGAAACCATACAGGCTATATGGAGTCCTATATAATCAGCTGAGAGAGAATGGTACCGCTGGAACACACCTGTATCCTAAAAAGATTCATCTCTTTCCACTGAATAGAGATGATTCCAGACAACCAGACCAGTCATGCAAATTTTATCTGGCTAAGGTTGCATGCTAAGATGAATCTCATCCCCTATACTCAGACATTGTGATTAAGTTTTGATTTACATGACCTAATTATATGCTACTGTTTCCAGAAGAATATCTGGCTCATTCAATGTCCAGAACAGACTTTTTTAATTAAATAAGATAGTGTAGTTAAATTATGTCTTACATTGCACCAGCACTAAGTGAGTTGGTACCATTTATCCTCTTTGCTTTAATCTCTGTACCTTGGTTCCCACATGTGCAATGCTGAATATACTACCTAATGTTACTAAGAAGGTTATGGAGATAGAAATCTAAAACAGATCTAAAGTACAGCATTACAAGCATTATGAAAAACCTCTCCAAGGAATTAATATTCTGTGGTCAGTACAAGATAAATAAAGGGCAAATAAACCCTGGGGCTCCATGCATGACTGAGGGTAATAAAGAAACACTGCACTGCTGGAGACACAGGGATCTTTTAGACAAACTAACAATTCCATGAACCTCGGCAATAATGAAATCCAATTTCCTATGGATTTGGGTCTTGAAGTGAATTAAATTTGATATCTGTGATGCAAGCTTCAGCTGGTTGACATATTTTACAGTCTGTCTATGCAGTGGTCTCTTCCAATACTGTATAAACTAATGCTGGAGGCTTTCCTTCTGCAGAGTACTCTGCCTCACCTTATTTTCAAGGAACTCCTTAGGAGCTTAACTATCTTTTAGTTGGATCTGTCATATTTGTTTAAAATCAGCTAACAAGTTTCAAAGGTATTTTACCAGCAAGGGAATGAGACACATAGCATAATCTTAAACATCTTGTTGCCATAGGAAAGGAAGGTAAAGAGGTGAAGGAAGGACAGAACTGAGGCCTGTTACTTCTGAATGTTCATCTCAAATAACATCCAGCTGTTAAAACATTAAATGTTACTCTCAACACCACAGGGCAAGGTCTTAAATGGATTTTCACTGTTCTCTACTCAGCACATATATGTTTATTTAATATGATTAAAATAACCTTAGTAGTCTATCACTCTTGGGAGGTAGGCAGAACATCAGTTTTGGTTAGTTCTATTGCAGTCTTCAGAAAAGGGGAAAACTTAATTCTTTTTTTCCTTGTGTTTTTAATACAGTTTCCCTCCTTCTGCTCCTAGTTTAGAAAAACACCAACAACCACACCCACAAAGACATAAGTACAAAGGCTTGTATTACTTTTTTTAAAAAGCCAGTTGAGAAGGATACTGCTCATCAGCCATGAAACCAAACAACACCGAAGTGCAAATGCTAACTGCATTCTGGGTGGTATTTGTTTGGTTTTGGTTGTTTTTTGAGGACTGACTCACAAGTACAAACAGTTCACTGGCAACCAGAAGCATTGTCAAGCAACAGCTGTCATCTATTAATAAACAGGTTTAGGCATATCTGAGACTCATAAGAATTGTGAATAAATGAAATACTGTTGTTATTTGTCAGCATGTCCAAGCAAACTTCTGGAATAATCTGTGTCCTTAACATTCATTTCCACTGCAGCCTTTCAAATACAATTCAATCAGTTATTATTGCCCTTCTCCAAAATTTCATCAGTCAGAGGAAGTTAAAATTCAAGTACTACATTCATTCAGTTATTATTAATGGATTGGTTTGAAAATTGTGAGTTCTCAGGAATATGGCATGACTCTTTAGCTGTTACCCATGTAAGCTGTCACATAATATCTGATTGTTTTAATGAGACTACCCATGTAAACTAGAGCTGGAGGACTGAGACCCAGCATAGAGTGGCTGAGATGGCAAGTGTCTGGAAGGTCAAGCAGAGCTTTAGCTCTCTGAATTGCTGGGGTACAGAAGTCTTCTCCGCCCCTTAAGCTCACTACAAGAAAAACTGCAAAAGCAGAGAGAGGAAAATGCAGCACAAAATAGTCACAATATAAACCTGCTTTTTTTGTTTTGTTTTGTTGAAGTATCTGACACATTTTAATGAGTTTTTTTCCCAGTCCTCCAGTGAAGCACAACTTGTTCTAAATTTCAAAAGAATTCAGAAGCTTAGTAGTTCTGTGTGAGTTCTATGATTCTGACATTGATCTTTACCATCTACAGGAGTGTTAATAAAGAAATGTCTGTAATAGATGGTAAGCAAGAGTGTATATAAAAAATCCTAGATTTCCTCAGATTAATACAGTCTACTGCAATTGAATCTAAATATGGTCTCCTGCCTGCCAGCATGCCCTGCCTATTTATCTTACCTCTGAATGACCTTCACATACTTCCCAAGAACATGGCCATAATAGACTTTTCCAGGGAGTTCCTTAAAATGAGTTTCCCCCGTGGGACTGGTAAAGCAATGACATGCTTCCACTGAAGCATCTCATCAGTCTGGGACAGGTGGTCCTATTGCAGAAGTAAGGGAGGCCTGATATCCTCAGACACAGGTGTCTCAGGCCAAAACACTGTGCAAAGCTGTATCTCCTTTTTACAATCAGCAAGTACATATTTCACTACTCGAGAATGGATGTATGACTGAAATGATCTCAGACTGGCATCTATCATGTCTTTTTTTTCACAGCTACTAGTCACACTTCCTACTGCATTTTCCCTTCTCCAAAATTTCATCAGTTAGAGGAAGTTAAAATTCAAGCACTACATTCAGATTTCACAGTTTTGTGAACAGGCAAATTATTTTGTCGAACCTGAAAACCATGATGAAACTGTATGGTAGATTTATTTCTTTTTTTCACTGAGCACTCTTTCTTATCAGGCCAGTGGCAAAACCAATTGGGCTGAAGGAGTCCTTGTTTAAATCAACTAATGGCATTTCACTAAAAATGGCAGATTATACACCAAAATGACGCCTCATCAGGATTCCAGACATTTCTAGCTAGGGTGAAGAGTTGCTACAGACAAACTTGACAAATTCTCACAGGCATAATTTTCAAACACACATAGATGCATGCAGAGCACACAACTGTTCAAAGCAGTTCTAATTAAAACCACGCAGCAGTACAACATTTCCAATGTGGTCTGAATTTGTCTGCCATGTCCACACTACGGATTTTCATGAAGATGAGTAGGAATACCTAAGTTCCACTTACAGTAAAATAAGTGCAAGCAATGTTAATTGAGAAATATCCGAACGTAATTTCTGTACACTGCGGCGAATTCTCTTAGATCTTTCCCAAATGCACTGAACAGAAATGCTCACTTTGCACATATTTGTCTTTGCAGCAGTTATGATCATAGCTATTGTTTTGTAGCTTTCATACTTCACACTAACAATATATTCTCTATTTACAGCAGACAATGTCTTTTTCATTTACAACAAAATCAGAATTATCTTATTTGAGACTTTTTTTCCAACTATTCAAGGACCTGCCATTATCTTCCTGCTCTAAACAGTGTTTGACTGTTGAGTTCCTGAGCTTCTTTTTCATGCTAACGTAATCAAAATATTTTTTCTTCTTCTCTTCTCCCCCAAAATAACCAACTACAGCTTGTGTTATTATATAATATGACAGGACCTTGATTTAGCATCAGTCCAACCCTGAGCTATTATTCTGACCATCCCCTATGGCTACTTAATCAAAACACTGCAACTTGTGACTTTGTCAGTAATTTTGCTCATTTATCTTTATTATGACTTCAAGAATATTCGGAATGGAAGGTTAGTTTTGTATAACTAATATTGGTGATGAATGGCAATGATAATGCATTGCATGAAGAACATCTATTAATGTCTAAAATAATATTCTACTGTCTAAAAATAAATTGCAATGCAAAACATTTTCAGAGCTAACGAACAATAATTCAGTCCTACAGAAGTATTGCAACTCTGAGGAGTAAGGATCTTTAAGCCAACACACTCGAATTAGTTAGAGGTGCTGACTCTGACAGCTACAGTATTGATTCTACCACTAATTAACTCAAATCTTTAGGTCCCAGTAACTTCAAAAGCACTAGTGTAAATCAGCCAAACAAACAGCTATGAACCTTGGATAAAAGATTTGATTGCTGAACATACTAGGTCCACTGATTCCATTAGCATGCAGCATCCTCACTGTGTGCACATTCTGCAGAAACCCAGAGGAAAAAGGAATCTTCCTGGCACAGAACTGGAACTACTCTAGAGATATTAACCACTCCCTTAAAGAAAGGCATGGGACAAAAAGTCACAAATGGAGCCTTCCTGAATTTTCACTTTCTCTCTGAACTGTCTTTTACCTGTTCCCCACTTCTATTCTTCTATTCTCCCACAATTCTTCTCCTCCATGTTCCTCCTGCAGCTACAGTATCCCTCCTCCAAATGTTCACTCCATAATGCAAAACCAGCACTGACTGTGCTTTGCTAAATCTGTTCTGTAATTACAGCCTTGTTTATGCAATCTATCAGGAAAAATCTCCCATTTTTTTCTACTTAGAAAAGAAGCCTACCTTTTCCAGTATTTCCTTAGTCAAGACTGAGAATGCTTGCTCAATGTTCACATTATCTTTAGCACTGGTTTCAAAAAATGGTATTCCATATTCCCAAGCAAGCTGAAAAACAAATGTAGGCAATGGGATGAAGTTTTTTCCTGAAGTCTTCAGGAAAAAAACACTTCCTAATACTAGTAGCAAGAGATGTGGAGGTGTTCTGACTGCTTCTAACATGCTGTATAAACACTGATAAAGTACATGTCAGCTCAGCAAAGTATTCTATATTCATACTCAAGTTATAAATTTCAGGTAACTCTAAAAACAGGTAACTCTAAAAAAATTCTTAAATTTTAGCATTTTCAAAACAGCATTTTTAACCTTTTAACCTTGATCTTTACTTGTAAATAACAAGAATAAATCCCAGTGGATCTGTTCTCAATGTTTTGATATCTTTGAAAAATGAACTGTCTCCCAGGCAATTATTTAGAGGAAACTAATGGAGTGCCTGAAAAAAAAGTATAGACAAAAGTGTGACATAAACTGTAGAAAAAGAGGCATAGTGAAATATAAGAGCCAGGCAGAGAGAAGCACAGAGATAACAGGCAAGCAAAGAACAGGTATGTATGCAAAAATACATTATGGTAATAGGCAAAGGGAAAAAATACTTAGAAGGGCAGTATAGACTTTATATGGGTTGCTTTTATTTCATTCACTTATATTCTCTCATTTCCAGTGTATTTCCCTCTCAGATAGCTTAGAGATATGTTGGCATGAAAAAAAAAACCTCAACACAGCAAAAGTCATAGTTTTTTAAGGTCCTGGACTTTTCCCAATTTATATGGTTAAATACATGGAGAAAAAGAAAAAAACAGTTGCATCGTTGCCTCCCAAGTTAGGGGGCCAAGGTGGGAATAAATATGCTAAAAAACCCTGTAGTGGAAGAGTTTATTCCCATTACAATGGATCCCTTCTTTGTACACACCTAGAGAAGATGATCCCAGACAAAGAAAATGCCCTGCTGCTTATATGTATAGAAAATCCTGTGATTACTAACCACTTAATGATTTATTGAAACATTCTCCATTAGGATAAAAAGTCTAATGTTGGCAATTCTGTTTGTTTTCTATGAGCTCTAGAAGTAACAAATCAATGCTTTACAAAAATTCCAAAATCAGGCATGAAGATACAGATACAAGAATCAGACTTCGATGTTTTAGTCAAAATATAATCAAGATTATATTAAGGGTAGGAAAAAAAGTAAGCAAAGTGGTTTCCTTTCCAAAATGCTAAAAGAAAATGTAATTCTGAAAATAAAAGTGATACCTAGACCTTTTTTCCAGACAGAGACTGCTTAATAAGGGATTCTGAAACTCCAGCTGACTGCTGTGAACTGTTTATGGTACTGCAGCAACTTGCTACAGAAAGTTAATATCATTTGACTATTGCTAATACAAAACAATGATGCATAATGGTTCATAAAGAAAAATACAGGCAATAAAAACACACTGAGCTAACAAAGAAGAGAAAACTTGTTTGCAGTTTATAAAGTACACAGAAACTACTATTAAATAGTCCCTTTTCCTTTCTTGTATCAGGTAACAGATCCCTAGAGGTTACCTATGTACAAGCTCTGACGAACACAAAAATACATTTTAACCATGGAATCACGTAAATTATTGTGAAAGATAACCCCACTTGAAATGGGACTACTGCCCATATGGTATGAGCTCAGCCATGGCTTTGCCTACCTCAGTCTTGAAATCCACCAATGATGGAGATTCTATAACCTTTATGGGACCCTCTTCCACAGCTACATCATCCTTCTAGTAGAACAGGTTCTCTTCATCTCCAACCTGAACCTCCCAGGCCAGGACTTGTGTCCCTTGCTTTATTGTCTGTCTCTACATTTCTGTAATTTCACTAGTTACACTTCAATTACTGTAGACAAGTAACTGCTCCTTAGCCTCCCCTTTACCCACCTACCTCAGTTCTCCTTATGGATTACTGGTACTAGA